GAACTTGAACTAAATAATACTATAAAGTTCAAATGATAATAACAAATTAAAGTTAAACTAAAAATTCTACATCCCTCGGGCTGTATGCGACCCTTACGAGTATTTCATGCAACAACCGTATTTCAACCCTACACGTATAAGGTGTTTCTGACGTGTCACGGTAATTATTTAAGTTTTAAAACTCCGTAAAGTGTAAATTAAACCTCAAAAATGGAAATGAATCCTTTTATTAACAAAATAATCTCAGTGTAATGTTTTAATACAATATAATCTTGATGTTTTAATACAAATATAATTTCAATGCTTTAACAACAACATAATCTCAATGTAATATCCGTTGGAAATTTTCGCTACCCTTTTCTTTTGTAAGAAGTTTACCGTAGTTATCAAAATAAACTCATAGAAAGCACAAGACAAACGGAGAGAAATCAACAGTAGAAAAGCTTTTTACCCACTCTAGTCAAATTGATCTTGACATGGTATCACAGTTTCAAGATTACACGAGCGGTTAGAGCGCAACATTTTTTAGAGCTCGAGTCAACCTAACACGTAAGAATGAAATTGAAGTGCAAATTTCCACAGAACTTGTGCCCAAACAATCAACATTCGGTAACTGGGGCACATAAGCTCCTAGATGTACCTGCTGAAAACATGTGTGAGATTGAAAAATACATTTCATTGATTTTAATTTCCCTGACATGAAATTAACAGCAACTTGAGAATACTAACAATTTTCCCTTATAGGAACAAACTATCGTAAAACTCTATTATAATTATAATACTTTAATCTTTTTCTTTTATTAAAATCCTATTGAATATGAGTTTAATAAAGGCACACGCTGGCCTGCGGAAAAGCTACAGCACCGGGAAGCAGGCATCGGAGACTCTCGCTCATCCGCTGCGGGCGCTATAACACTGACCTATTTGTGGCCCGGACAGCTCCTACGGCGTACAATATCTCTTCAGTATCTATGTAAGATCCTCTTGGTTTACCGTTACTTTTATGCTCGAGCGATGCTACATATTATTATATGAATAAGGGTTTTTCGGGGTTTTAAAGCCAACCCATGGTTTGAAAACCATAGAATAAGGGTTTTACGCAATCATTCAATTCAATGAAGTTATACACCTCTACCCGCAATGTTACAACGATTGTAGCAATGATTAGAGTACGTAACAAGGAATGCATCATTAGCTGATAGTTTAATAATACTTTTGCATTAATGTTGAATTTTCATGCTAAATATTTGCCTTTAATGCATATCTCGTCGAGTTGAAATATTTCTTTCTGTTTTCGAAGCCATAGTCAAAAGTTTTTTCGCATGCTTAATAAAAAATCGATGTAGTAATAAGGACTCGATCCCTCATTTTCCAAAAATTTCAAAGGCTTTTAATTTCTGTAAGTTTGACATCATATAACACATGTTCATATTATAACTATAGGAGTCGTTATAATCTATTTTATCGTCGCCTAGAACGGTGATTAATTGAAAATATTTTAATCAGGTGCACGTACATAAATATTTCCGGAGACCGTTAAATAGCTTACGGTGCTGGTAATTGCCGGTTGCGACTTAAATTATTCAAACGTACATACAATACGCTAATAAAGCTCATAAATTGCACTTATCTATCAGTATTTAATGCTAATTTATTCACCTTACTTCATTATTAAAGAAATGTACACACATGGGCGTCTGTTCGTTGTTCGGACCTCATTCAGAACAATGAGACCTGCCCGATAATGTGAGCGGTAGAGACCCGCCCGATAATGTGAGCGGTAGAGACCCGCCCGATAATGTGGGCGGCAGAGACCTGCCCGATAATGTGGGCGGCAGAGACCTGCCCGATAATGTGGGCGGCAGAGACCTGCCCAATAATGTGGGCGGCAGAGACCTGCCCGATAATGTTGGCGGTAGAGACCTGCCCGATAATGTGGGCGGCAGAGACCTGCCCGATAATGTGGGCGGCAGAGACCTGCCCGATAATGTGGGCGGAGAGACCTGCCCGATAATGTGAGGCTCGCACATGGAGAAGCGGGCTATCCACTTGCCCTTAAAGATACAGTTTCTTGACAGTTAAGGCCTTAAATGGGATAAGAAAAGACAAGTGGGCTCAATACTTGGCGAAACGCTCAGTTTCTTTACGACGATGGCCTTATATGGAAAACATGACAGGCAAAAAGGCTCTCATTGGATGCCGAAAATGGTTTGAGTCTTCAATGTTAAGCTATTTGAATTGAGCTGGAATTGGTGATTTAGGGCCTGAAATATATTTTATTTGCAGTTTGTTAACTGGACTCATTGGGACGGATAATCTACAATAATTAAGTTGTAACTTTGTCGCACAATAATTGAAAACTTTTCAATCACATCAACCGGTCACAGTTCGGCACCAGAACTTGCCTATAGGAAGTCTCATTGTGTACTGTTTTGATGCCATGGCCTCATTAGAAGGATGTGGGAAGTGGTGTTTTGAAAGGCTTAATTAAACAGCATATACTAATACGTCAATAAACATCTCATCGTTCAGTAATTCGTCATACAACAGTAAATGGCGAAGACATGTCATTTATCCAGTTTGACGGTATCGATAATATGATTTTTGTTTTTGTTTAAAACGCGAAACATTCTAACAACATTTTATAACGTGAGTTGCTTTAACCACAGATGCTGAGTTTCTAATTTCCTGCTAAGATCGAGAAACTATCCGAGAAACTGAACAAAAAAATGCGCAATGCATGAAATGCGTTCATTGAATACCGGCGATGCCTGGAACGAGTTTCAACTTTTTCTTCTTCTGTCTGCTTTCTGAGGACTTGGTTCTTCACCACTCGCTTCACGTCCGGACAGGCAGCAGGGGTTTGGCCGGACAAGTGTTTCGACTTCCTTGTTGGAACGCTACGCTGCGCGTAGACTTTGCGAAGCTAAGCTAAGCTAAGCTACTCCGATGTGAAGAACCCGAGTTAACAGAAAGGTCTAATATGACTTGACTTTAATATTGATCCAATCGGTTGGTAAAGCTACTGAACTACAAAAATTTTAATTCATCCTATTTTTCTGTTCATGAAGTGACAACTGGTAAGTTAGTTACGCTAGCATAAGTTAATCATTTGTATTCCTAAAGGCAATAGGTATGGCATGGAAAGGAGGTCCACGGTAGAATGAGCTCATAGAGTTCAATGCATTCTCGCAAATGAAGGAAAAAATTTCGTCATTTCAAAATTGATTCATTTTGGAGCCCAGTGAAAGTTCGGTATTTTTTAGGAATTGTACCTTCGGAATCGGAATTTAAATTTTAACCCAAATGCAAAAAGTTTAAATTTTTTAACGAAACGAAGATTTTTGTTGCTAAGAGCAATATTTTTGTTGCTAAGTGTAATATTTTTGTTGCTGGGGGCAATATTTGTAATTTTTGTGTAATTAATTAGCGCAAATCAAACGTGTCACATGATCGCCTGGCACGTAAGGATAGGAACGACATAAATCATTCAGCATTTTATACGTAGTTATGAGAAAAAATTACCTTGGAAATTATAGGTATTAAGAGCAGCTTAAATCAAAAAGGCGGATGAGTAAATACTGCACGTATCTATCACTTTACAATAATATTATTATCGTCGCATGATAACGGTAACATAAATCATTACCGAAGTGCGTACGCCCTACAAAATATGCCGTGTACGCCATATATATTTATATATATATACTGAATATGTCCGTCGAAGGGGCTTCACCTCTAATCTGAATATCTTTTATGAATATTGTGCGACATAAAGTTGAAAGAAGCATACTAAATCCTTCACGTAGATAGAAAATACATAATGTTCAATTAGGGGAACGTCAAACCCTGTTTTATTTAGAAAATTCAAGTTATTTTGCTGGTAAACCAAATAAAATGAACTAACTAAATATATAAATAAATGATAAAATATGTAAATGATGTAAAAATATGTAAATGATGTAAACAATAAATAAATGATAAAATAAATGATAGAATAAACTAAATACTGGCATTCGACATGCAGAGAAGATAAGGGGCTCATATAAGGCCTTCTCAATTAAAGAAGAAACGAATTACTATATGAAAGAAAATAATTTTTTCGTGGAGTCTCAGTGGGATTCTGGTAGTTCTTTTCTCGTTTGGTTAAGCAATAAAAAGTGACCAATATTTGAGTTACTACTAAGGGAAAACCAAAATTTGAAATGAATTACAATGAACGAATTAAAAAATGTTCAAAGTCATTGTTGAAACAAATATGCCATAAAATTTGGTATAAAGTTCCAATTCATAATATGACGGAAGAATTTTTTTGTATAGTAGTTGAAGTATTGAATTACAATCTAGGTAGAAAAAGCATTATGAGTATAGCACTACAGTTTTTTTTAGTGCAGTAATGGGGAACACTATATGATGATCATACACTTTCCTATTTTTTCAATTTCAAAATCTTCATTATAAATTTGAAATAGCTCTATTTCTTCACCTAGTCTTTTTATATGTACATTTTTTAATGATAATGTAATGAAGGTCCGCCTGCTACAATGCGTTCCTATTAATAGTTATGTAATAAAGTGAACCACATGGGGTCAAATCTTGCAAGAAGACGAACTGCTGCAAATTTTAATTTCCAATTCAATGTTCGTTCACGATGCTTCAATCAAGTCTGGTATCTCAAGAAGCGAGTGGCTGCACAGGGAGCGAGTGGCTGCATAGGGAGGGGCTTAGGGAGCGAGTGGCCGCATAGGGAGGGGTTTAGGGAGCGAGTGGCCGCATAATGAGAGGCTTAGGGAGCGAGTGGCTACAAAGGGAGCGACTTAGGGAACGAATAGCTGCATTGTGAGAGGCTTAGGGAGCGAGTGGTTACATAGGGAGCAGCAGCTCAGGGAGCGAGTGGCTATAAATGTAGAAGCTCAGGGAGAGAGTGGCTGCTTCGGGAGCGGCTTATGGTACTCACCAGCTACGAGTCTATAGGTCGGTCCACCCCCTATGGTACTCACCAGGTACGAGTCTATAGGTCGGTCCACACCCCTCAGGTAGCTCTTCTGGAGTTTAGTTGCGTTGAGCGCGTGCGCTATGTGCAGCGCCGTATGGTCAAATCTGCCGTACTTGTAGTCACTCAGGGACGAGTTGTGGCCGTTCTCTGATGAACTGTGACTGCCCTGAACAACAGGAACCATATTTATTAGTGATAAATATAAATATCTGTAATGCTACACACTTGGAAAACAGCAACATGTTATGAACTTAGACTTAAAAGCTGGTAAAGAATTCCGTTTCGCCTGGAATTTTTCTAATTCCAAAAGCCTCATTTGATTGAAAAACTGGTTACTGGCAAAGTTTCGTTTCCTGATGAAAGAAATTTAGAGGAGTAACTTTAGAGGAGAAATTTTGTTAGATTGCAAGGATCGATTGAATAAAGTATGAACTTCGTGAGAGGAAACAGATGTCTCGTCAGATGTCTCGACGAATCAATTGACTGTGCTACAATTATCCGACCAGTAGGGTTCCCATCTTGAGTCAAATGAAAATCAATATTCATTAGACAAATAGTAAAGTTTTCTGTATTAAACCAGCACTCAAAAATAATGAAATAAAATAAGGAAAATGAAAGTGTGATAACGGGAAATGCATTAATTATTAGGTAATAATATAAGCTTGAGCAAACAGATGACGAAAAAAGAAGCCTTACTGGAGGCGTCGCCTGACTCGGACCAACGGAGCGGCTAATTGTCGCTAATGGCTGATCACAATGAGTGAGTGATTGCAAACAATGAGTGAGTGATTGCACACAATGAGGGAGTGATTACACACAATGAGGGAGTGATTGCACACAATAAGTAAGTGATTGCAAACAATGAGTGAGTGATTGCACACAATGAGTGAGTGATTGCACACAATAAGTAAGTGATTGCACACAATGAGTGAGTGATTGCACACAATGAGTGAGTGATTGCACACAATAAGTAAGTGATTGCAAACAATAAGTAAGTGATTGCACACAATGAGTGAGTGATTGNCGGTTGGGGGACTTGACGCTCGGCTCGCCGTCCAGCGAAGGTCTGCTCCTGATTTGGTCGTTGGTGTAGTTCGTTGGTCGCGGGACGTTCAGAGCAGAGCGTATCTGGACGGCGTCACCATCGACGTGGCCAGGGCCAATTTTTGGTACGTGTGATGAACAGTAAACTTCTTTGTCGTCCTAAGCGAAGGAAAAAAAAATAGATCAGTACTCACTGCAGTGAGTGACAGAGAGCGCATTTTCTCGTCGACGAAAACGTTAAGTCACAGACAGACGGACAGGCAGACGGACGGACGGACGGACGGACATGACGAGCACAATAGCGTCTTTTTTCCATAAATTAGAAAATGTGGAGTTGGAAATAGGGGGATATCTGACTGAAATGCGTACGTTTTGAAATCTTTCACGTCAATACTATGTCCTCTTGAGTAATATAGCTTCAAAATTTATGTGAAAATTTTTTCGTTAAAAATTTAGATGATATAAGAAGTCCTTACTTCCATAGCTAACGCACAGGAATAGCTAACACGATGACTCGTTGGTGACTAAACTTAATCTTGGTACAGAAATAAGAGATAGCTTGTCAATGTAACAAGCATTTATAGAGAAGTTTACATCACTCAGATGTAGATAATAAAGAATTCAAGAGACTCTCACAACATGAAGAACGTAAGGAAGATAGAGAACATGAAATCGCACTTATCCCATCGGAATTTTTAATCTATTTTCGAAAAAGAAATAAAATCGGTTGAACCTTGAGATCTTAGGCTCACATATGTATTATAAGTAAGCAAAAAATTGTATGCCGAATTCATATCACTTTTTACAACACTTCTCTTTAACTTCACTTCTTGTTTGTTTGTCTATCTGTCTGTCTGTCTGTCTGTGTCTGTCTGCTACAAATCTTATAATCGAAATTTGACACACTTCTACTTATCCTATTGATCTGAAATTTTGCACACTTGCGTAAAGTTGAAGACAATGCAAGAATCAAATGACAAAATAAATGATTTTAAAAATTGAAAAATTTAATTTTTTTAATAATAAAAAAATTGAAAAAATACTTTTTTCAGCTACAAATCTTATAACTGATATTTGACACACTTTTACCTGTCCAATTGATTTGAAATTTTGCACACTTGTGTGAAGTCGGAGGCAATGCATGAATCAATTGACGGAATAAATAATTTGAAGAAAAATTTTATATATTGAAAAAAATTGAAAAATTAATTTTTTTAATATTCGAAAATAAAATGAGAAATTCATTGTACATCTTTAACATTGGAGACACTGGATTCTTTAGAAGTGTTGTCTTTAAAAAGTAATTTTTAAACGTATATCATTAGATAATTTTTATGCATATATGAAATTTATAGAGAAGATTAAATAGACTTATTTTAAACTGGTATTATGCAACATTAATCCCTTTACTTGAGCTTTCAACGATACCTGCTTCGCCTTTTTAGAATTCGATAATTAATTCCTATGTATTTAATGAATGTTCGAGAATCATGCCATGAATGAACCAAGCCTGAATCAAGAGTCATCATCATGAATGAATTTCAAACATTTGCCTGAAGGAAAAGGAATATAGTTTAGCGTGATTTAGTTTGAATTTAATCAAATTCAAATTTCTACATTTAATTGACGCGCAGTACCACAGAAAAGGAGGTCCAGTTTAGTATAATTTAGTTTTAATTTAATTAAATTTAAGCCTATACTCTACACTACTCGTCTCCTCCCTCGGCCATCATGTCCCAGTCGAGTGGTCATTGAGGTGAGTGGTGCTGCCTGAGACCGCGACTTACCGGTGCTATTCCAGCACACGAAGATAGACTAGGGGTAAGATTGATACTAGAATGCCGGACTCTTGGTAGGATTGGTACCAGAATGCAGGACTCTTGGTAGGAGTGGTACTAGAATGCAGGACTCTTGGTAGGATTGGTACTAGAATGCGGGACTCTGGGTACGATTGGTACTACAAAGCCGAACCTTAATTGGTACGATTGATACTAGAATGCCGGACTCTTGGTAGGATTGATATTAGAACGCTGGACTCTAGGTAGGATTGATGTTAGAACGCCGGACTCTTGGTAGGATTGATGTTAGAACGCCGGACTATTGGTAGGATTGATATTAGAACGCCGGACCCTTGGTACGATTGATACATATTAGAACTCAAGGCTCTTGGTAGAATTGACATTAGAACGCCGGGCTCTTGGTAGGATTGATATTAATCGCCGGGCTCTTGATAGAGTTGATTTAGAACACCGGACTCTTGGTAGAATTGATATTCGAACAACAGACTATATAAGTAGGACTGATATTAGAACGCCGGGCTCTTGGTAGAATTGATATTCGAACAACAGACTATATAAGTAGGACTGATATTAGAACNCGTAAGGATAAGAACGACATAAATCATTCAGCATTTTATATGTAGTTATGAGAAAAAATTACCTTGGAAATTATAGGTATTAAGAGCAGCTTAAATCAAAAAGGCGGATGAGTAAATACTGCACGTATCTATCACTTTACAATAATATTATTATCGTCGCATGATAACGGTAACATAAATCATTACCGAAGTGCGTACGCCCTACAAAATATGCCGTGTAAGCCATATATATTTATATATATATATACTGAATATGTCCGTCGAAGGGGCTTCACCTCTAATCTGAATATCTTTTATGAATATTGTGCGACATAAAGTTGAAAGAAGCATACTAAATCCTTCACGTAGATAGAAAATACATAATGTTCAATTAGGGGAACGTCAAACCCTGTTTTATTTAGAAAATTCAAGTTATTTTGCTGGTAAACCAAATAAAATGAACTAACTAAATATATAAATAAATGATAAAATATGTAAATGATGTAAAAATATGTAAATGATGTAAACAATAAATAAATGATAAAATAAATGATAGAATAAACTAAATACTGGCATTCGACATGCAGAGAAGATAAGGGGCTCATATAAGGCCTTCTCAATTAAAGAAGAAACGAATTACTATATGAAAGAAAATAATTTTTTCGTGGAGTCTCAGTGGGATTCTGGTAGTTCTTTTCTCGTTTGGTTAAGCAATAAAAAGTGACCAATATTTGAGTTACTACTAAGGGAAAACCAAAATTTGAAATGAATTACAATGAACGAATTAAAAAATGTTCAAAGTCATTGTTGAAACAAATATGCCATAAAATTTGGTATAAAGTTCCAATTCATAATATGACGGAAGAATTTTTTTGTATAGTAGTTGAAGTATTGAATTACAATCTAGGTAGAAAAAGCATTATGAGTATAGCACTACAGTTTTTTCTAGTGAATATAATTAGACTAACCAACAATTTTGGTAGAAATAGCATTATGAACTAGAAAACAAATTCACGTACGCAGGCAGCACCTAACTGAGGAGCGTCTCTGTAACGCTAATTACGCGACACCCAGCCCAGCGTTCCTCCAATTCTTGCGCGTGCCACGTGACGTCACTACAACTCTTACTGAGTTGTAGTGACGGTGAATTAGAGTGATGAATTAGAGTGATGAATTGGTGTGATGAATTGGTGTGATGAATTGGTGTGATGAATTGGTGTGATGAATTGGTGTGATGAATTGGTGTGATGAATTAGAGTGATGAATTGGTGTGATGAATTGGTGTGATGAATTGGTGTGATGAATTAGAGTGATGAATTAATTGCGATGAATTAGAGTGATGAATTATTGCGATGAATTAAAGTGATGAATTAATTGCGATGAATTAGAGTGATGAATTAATTGCGATGAATTAGAGTGATGAATTTATTGCGATGAATTAGAGTGATGAACTAATTGCGATGAATTAGAGTGATGAATTAATTGCAATGAATTAGTGTGATGAATTATTGCGATGAATTAGAGTGATGAATTAAATGCGATGAATTAGAGTGATGAATTTATTGCGATGAATTAGAGTGATTAATTAATGCGATGAATTAGAGTGATGAATTATTTGTGATGAATTAGAGTGATGAATTAATTGCGATGAATTAGTGACATGTTTCTTCCAGGTAAATTTACCTTATTTCCAAATCTACCACAATAAGCATAATGCTCCTTTCACAAATGCTAAATTTTACACTTTAAGACACTCTGTCGCC